GGCGTCAGCTTTTGCGTCGGTAACCAGCCAAAGCAATAAAATTGACACCTGCTGGTTAGACAGCTGGGGTGATGGGATTTAGCCTGTCAGTGAGCCCTGCGTTAGGTGCTAAGGTGGGTTTGATTAAGGGTGCATTATCAGAAGACTTGTTGGCTGTCCGCTGGACACTGAAAATGTTATATGGGTGCGGAGGGAACATTAAGCCCCCCCCCAGACGTGGCGGGGGGAGGAGGGGAAGGGAGGATTAATGGCTCCGCAACTGTGGACCAGATTGTTGCAACAGAGGCTTTAGCTGTCCGACGTTTCGGATCCACACTGGAGGCCATCAGCAGGAACGAAGACAGAAGGAGAAAGAGAGACTCGTTGAGCATTTTAATTGATAGAGATGCTATGCCAATGAAATCGAGCCCACTACAGTTTACTTCAATAATCCGTTTTTTGTTTGGGGTGTACTGGCTTCCAAATTACCTACGGATAGTGACAGTGGTTTGCATAGATTGTTGGGGTAGTCATCTCCCAGCTTTATTAGCCAGCAATTTTTAAAAATAAACCAATTAAGATGGGATAACCGCGCAATCCTTCTTCTGGTGACGTTTTAAGTCGGGGTACCTGGTATTTCTGCCCACTTTTAATGGACGAAAATATGGAAGCTCACCCCAGGTACAATAGCTACACATGTTGTCGGGTCAAAATACCTTAAATGAATTCAATCGGGTTATTAAATGGATGGGATTTGGGGTTCAGTTTTTTACGTCTGGTAAGTAATGGCAAGTAGGTGCTATTTCCACATTACTTGCTGCACAGTATTGCGTCTTGTAGGTGATCAGTATCAGTAAACATGATGATGCTATCTCAATAACAACTACACGTGTGCAAAAATGGCTTTACCTTGCTGAATAGGCTGCAAACTATCTGTCCTGTTGTCTTTTGTAGATGTCTAAACCGAGTATCCGAGACGCGGATCTAAAAAAAACGCAATTAAATTGCTCAGAACTACAAATAACACACCAAACGTAGTGTTTTCATCACAGATGCGGCGAATAAAGTTGCAATTCACGAGGCTTAAAACTATTAACACCTTTAAGTTGGTTAGTAATTAACGTAGGCACTTGTTACAGGTTGACCACTTGGTCACAAAAAACTCCGGCATTCTTTGAGAATAAGCTTTTCTAACCTATATTGTGGGCAGTTCCCGTTATTATCTCTTGCTTAGGGAGTCATATAAGTCATCCTTATCCCCCCTCTATCCTGTCAACCGGGGAGATGCCCGCATGCGGTCCCTACCTAGGTCACCCCCCACGCGACAAATATCCATACTTTATCCACTGTTTTGAGAGAAAGGGTTAAAATCACGAAATAAGCCTTGCTGCAGGGAATCCTTGCTTTGGAAGTACCATACGCAGACCAGAGGCAAACTCAG